CAGCATCATAATCATGGTCCTCATCATCATCATCATCATCATCATCATCATCATCATCATCATCATAATCATAATCAGCATCATCATCAGCACCATCAGCATCATCAGCATCATCATCATCATCATCATCATCATCATCATCATCATCATCCGCATCCTGATCATCTTCCTGGTCTCCGTCCTTATCCTCATCCTCCCCCTCCTCCTCCTCGTTCTCCCCCTGCTGGCCATCATTAGCAGCATCATCTCCATCGTCATCATCATCATCATCATCGTCATCATAATGATCATCATAATGAACATCATCATCAGCATCAGCATCATCATCATCATCATCATCATCATCATCATCATCATCATTGTCATCCTTATCTCCCTAGTCATCCTTCTTCTCCACCTTCCATGTTGCAAGCTGTAGTAACTGGGCACAGGATTTTCGCCTCACGGTCATGCGTATACTCATGATCCTCAGCAGCAGCAGCATCATCATCATCCTGCGCCTCCTCCTTGGAGGTTGACCTTCCCCAGTCCGCATCTTGATGCGGCTGTCTCGGGGCGAGCGCCAGGTCTTCTTGACATGACAGCGTGAGACGAAGAGTTCAACAATCTGTCTGCCCCATGACATGGTCGCGCGGGGGGGGGAGCCTTCACCGGTCTGTGCGTCCTCAGGGTACCTTCGACAGTTGACTGTTTTCTGGTTGTGGCAAGTTAGATTCCACAGCTCCACAGGGTCAGTGCTCCTCCCTTGAATGTTGCACTGTAGAACAGGACCCACGGCGAACCATGCTTCCCTTTCCGCTCCAGGGTGCATGTTGCGCGATGTCCCCGCCCCCCCGGGACAATCTCCGCTGGCGAGGCCGGCGGTCCTGCTGCACACAAACAGGCCCCTATCCGATGCACGGACCTCCAGGACGCCGCCCGGCGGCAATGCCGGCGGCCCTGCAGGAATTAAAAGTGAGCGGGTTGGTCTTACCATATCGGCGGGGCCTGAGACTGCCTCCACCCGGTAGTTTTGTCTTAATTACCATTGTCCAGCCAGGAACGAGCCACCCTCCAAGGCTGCGCAGTCCGCTGGCATCCTCCTCCTCCTTTGCAGCATTCCCTGCGCACTTGAATCGGATGTCACCGCCTTCACACAACGCGATGCGTTGGACCCCGGGGAGCGCCCGCTATTAAGCAACTGGCCATCCATCAGCGGGCACCCCGTCCTCTTCCTGTTCCTCCCCGTGATCCATTTCCTCCTCCTCCTCCTCCTCCTCCTCCTCTTCCTCCTCCTCCCCTCCTCCTCCCCGTAGCGACTCGCACACCCTCCCCAAAAGTTTGCAAGAAATTCACAGAGGGCGGTGGTTTTCAAAATGTGGCGCTCGCATGAGCGCCACGCACTTTCGTTTACAAGTTCACAACAGCTTCAAGGATGGAGGGCGGTTCCTTTCTCAACATGTGGTTCTCGCCCAGAGAGCCGCGCAGATTCGTCTTACAAGACTGTTGCAAAGGCGCGAAGTCCCAGGTTTCTTCTGGCGCGATGTACGATTGTCAGGACGCACTACTCACGTGGACTCAGGATGTTACAATCCTAAAAACGACACGATGGAAGCACATGAAGTCTCTTCGGTGATTGTCGACAGACAGATATTCTTGAATCCCACCAGCCCTCTTGGCATAGATGGTCTAACGATGACTTTCTCTTTCCTTCAAAAGAAATCATGTTTCTCTTTCGGGGAATGTTTATCACTGTTCCCTAATATAATACACCCCCTCCCCCAGGCGACGGGGAGCCAATCAGGAACAATGCGGGTACCCCCCCCCACCATCCCTTGTACAAAAACAATACAAAACACAATATGCCTCCAAATTCGGAACATGCGCAGCGAACCCGATTGTGACTCCCCCCACCACCCCTGTCAAAAAACAATACAGAGTACACTTGGCGGCGGCGGCGGCGGAGGCTGCGGCGGCTGCGGCGGGAGCAGCGGCTGCGGCGGCTGCGGCGGTGGCGGCGGCGGTGGCGGCGGCGGCGGGGGCGGCGGTGGCGGCGGGGGCGGCGGCGGCGGCGGCGGCGTGGCGGCGGCGGCGACGGCAGCGGTGGCGGCAGCGGCCGCCCCGATTCGGCAGCGGGGGCGGCGGCGGCGGCGGCGGCGGCGGCGGGGGCGGTGGCGGCGGACAGGCGCGGCGGCGGCGCGGAAGCGGCGGCGGCGGCGGCGGATTCGCCCCCAGTAGCTGCCCATCCAAAGACGACTGCTGAATATGCTGCGGCTCGGGCCAGGCTCCGGGTGCTATGTATGTGTTGGGGGCGGGTGGGAGTGAGCGAGACGGCTTGCGGGGGGGAGGGAGTCTTGATCACTGTTCCCTATTAATATACACCCCCTCCCCCAGGCGACTGGGAGCCAACCCAGTCCATGAGGGCCCCCCCCACCATCCCTTGAAAAAAACACTCCGCTCCAAATTCGGAGCATGCGCAGCGAACGCGATGCGGCCTCCCCCCACCATCCCTGACAAAAAAAAATACAGCATACACTTGGCGGCGGCGGCGGCTGCGGCGGGGGCAGCGGCTGCGGCGGCTGCGGCGGTGGCGGCGGCGGTGGCGGCGGCGGCGGCGGCGGGGGCGGCGGCGGCGGACAGCGGCGGCGGCGGCGGCGGCGGCGGCGGCGGCGGCGGAGGCGCCCCCAGTAGCTGCCCATCCAAAGACGACTGCTAGATACGGCTCGGGCCAGGCCCGGGTGCTGCGTATGTGTTGGGAGGGCGGGTGGGAGTGAGCGAGACGGCTTGCGGGCGGGGAGGTAGTGTCTTGACCCCTCCCCCTACCCCCTCCCCTGGACTTGTTCGGGGGGCTTCGCGGGTGGTCGGAGGGCCCTTTTTTCGGCCCCTGGGAGGGCCAATGTTTGACACTCCTCACGAGGATCGTGGCCCCCGAGGGGGGGGGGGAGGTCGATCGGGAGAAAACCTCATTTGATCGATAGTCTCGAAGATGGCCCCAAGAGGCGTTCCAGGGCTTCCAAGAGAGCCCCAGGAGAGCCCCAAGAGGGCCCCAAGAGGGTCCCAAGAGGGCCCCAACAGGCACCCGAAAGGCGCCCGAGGGGCCCCCGAGCGGCCTCAGCGAGCCCCAGGTGACCTCCTAGATGGCTCAGATAGCCCAAGCTGGCTCAAGATGGCTCCCAAGATGCTCCAAACGGCCCCAAGACCACTACAAGAGCGCCCAAGAGCGCTCCAAGAGGGCCCCAAGAAGAGGATTGCGGGCTCCTGAGGGGGGAGCTCAGGTGGGACCCCCCCATCCTGCAATCGATGGCCTCCAAGATGATCATAAGAAGCCTTCCAGGGTTATCAAGAGGGTTCCAAGAGAACCCCCAAAACTCCCAGAGAGCACCAGCAGCAGCAGCAGCAGCAACCGCAAGAATACCTCTAGATGGTTACAGGAGTCCTCATCCGCGTCGTCCTCATCCTAGTCCTCGACCTCCTCGTCCTCATCCTCATCCGCGTCCTCGTCCTCCTATTCCTCCTCGTCCGCATCCTCCTCCTGCTCCTCCTCCTCCTCTTCCCCTCGCCCCCACGCGGCCCCCAGGGATGGTCCGAAGAGGCCGTCCAAGGCCACCCCCTTGCTCCCAGAGATCTCTCGGTTCACCCTGGTTGCTCGCTTTGTTTCCCAAGATGTGTCTCTTCGTCCCTTTTCCCGTCAGCTCTCATGGGCAGGGCTTCTGAAAGGGCTGGTGGGGATACGCGAAGCGTGAATAATATCAACTCATGGCCGAAAGAACAAACGATACGCAACCTTTGGGCTCCCTCGATCATAAACGACAATCGCCATGCAGCATGCTAAATGCACACTGCTTCACGATACACAGCTGTGCTAAACAACAAGCACAGAGACAGATCAGGAGCCAGCATACAGATCAGTAGAATGGGAGGCGCACTGACAGCCTGGACGCACCAGTCACGTAGATCCCAGGTTTGAAGTCCCAAGAAATGCTCGTTGGCACGATTACGGAGTCTCAAATGGTTGTCCTCTAATGGGCCACTCCCCGCAACGAACAAAACTTGTTGCATAACCGATGAAGAGGGAGCTTGGAGGGAGGCTTTGTTGCAACGTGCTACGGCTCGCTTGATCACTCTCTACTCGCATCGCACCGCTCGTAGAAACCCTCGCAGCCTCGAAACACATAGCCTTCTCCTCCTCCCTTTGTGGGCCCCGGAAACGGCAGGGCCGTTTTTTCACCGGTTCCGAAAAATGTCCCTTGAAAATGGAAACGGCAAAAAAACGGCGACCCGAAACGGCAAAAAAACGGCTCAAGGATTGGAACCGGAGCCGGAACCGGTCAAAACACGGCGACGGAACCGGTCAAAAAACGGCGTCGGAACCGGCAAAAAAACAACAACAAAAAATCCGGTAAAAAAACGGCCCTGTCGTTTCCAGGGCCCACTAAGCCTCCTCCCCCTCCCCCTCCTCATCGTCCTCCTCCCCCACTTCCAGAGATGAATTAACGTCCTCCTCCTCCTCCTCCCTCCTCCTCGCCCTCCCTCCTCCCTCCTCATCCTCCTCCTCCCCTCCCTCCTCCTCGTCCTCCTCCCCCCCTTCCAGAGATGAAATAACAGTGCGGGTATGAGGCACGCGAAGAACACAGCATCTGGCCGAGGGCTCTGGCCGGGGACAGGCCGAGCGACCCCCAGCGGAGCCCCTCGTCACTCTCCTGCGCCGCCCACGACTCGGAGCGCTCCCGCGCCCCTCCCCCATTCGCCCCCTTCTCCTGCTCGTGGTCCCTCGTCCCGCCCGGCCCCCCCCACCTCCTCCCCTCCTCCTCCTCCTCCTCCTCCTCTCCTCCTCCTCCTCCTCTCCTCCTCCTCCTCCTCCTCCTCCTCCTCCTCCTCCTCCTGCCCTCCTCCTCCTCCTCCTCCTCCTCCTCCTCCTCCTCCTCCTGCTCCTCCTCCTCCTTCTCATCATCATCCTCATCCTCCTCATCCTCATCCTCCTGCCCTCCTGCCCCTCCACCACCGCGCGCGCGGCCGCCGATCCTGCGAGACGACCGTGCGCTGCCGCCACTCATTCTGCACGAAGTTCACGCGCTCCTCCGCCCAGCCACTGCCAGATTCCACCTTCCTCTGGCCCTCTTCCTCCTCCGCTTCCTCCTCCTCCTCCTCCTCCTCCTCCTTCTCATCATCATCATCATCATCATCATCATCATCATCATCATCATCATCATCATCATCATCATCATCATCATCATCATCATGATCATCATCAGCAGCAGCATCATCAGCAGCATCATCATCATCATCAGCAGCAGCGGCGGCGGCGGCGACAGCAGCATCAGCGTCATCGCCATCTCATCACCATCATCCTGTACCCTCATCATCATCATCAGCAGCAGCATCATCAGCATCATCATCATCATCATCAGCAGCACCATCGTCATCATCATCATCATCATCATCAGCAGCAGCAGCATCAGCAGCAGCAGCATCATCATCATCAGCATCATCATCATCATCAGCATCAGCATCAGCATCAGCATCATCATCATAATCATCACCATCTCCATCATCACCATCATCAGCAGCATCATCCGCAGCGGCAGCTGTCGCATCATCATCAGCATCAGCAGCATCATAATCGTCATCATCATCATCACCATCAGAATCATCATCATCATCAACATCATCATCATCAGCATCATCATCATCTGCATCATCATCACCATCATCGACATCATCGTCATCATCAGCATCAGCAGCATTAGCAGCATCATCATCAGCACCATCAGCATCATCATCATCATCCTCATCCTCATCCTAATCCTCCTGCGCATCGTCCTCCTCCGCATCATCATCATCAGCGTCAGCAGCAGCAGCAGCATCGTCATCATCATCACCACCAGCATCATCATCATCAGCAGCAGCATCACCACCACCACCAGCATCATCATCAGCATCAGCAGCAGCACCATCACCACCACCAGCATCATCATCATCAGCAGCAGCATCATCATCATCAGCAGCAGCAGCATCATAATCATCAGCAGCATCATCAGCAGCAGCATCACCATCACCATCATCATAATCCTAATCATCAGCAGCGTCAACATCTGCATCATCATCATCATCATCATCATCAGCATCATCAAGATCATCATCAGCCATCATCATGACCATCATAATCATCAGCAGCAGCATTACCATAACGGTCACGAGCAGCCTGGTGATCCCCATCACCATTATCAGCATCACCATCATCACCATCATCACCATCAGCACCAGCATCACCATCATCACCATCAGCAACATCAGAACCGATACCCCAATCACCTCCACGATCCGCAGCATAATCACAACCATTAGCATCAGCAGCAGCATCATGCTCAGGTCACCCGACCAAAAACAGGTCGTGGTCACTGCAACTGCCGTCCATCCACCGGGCGAGTGGGCCAGGATCACAAGGAGAGGGAGAGGGATATGAGGAAGGAGAAAGCAGCAGGGAGAACCGCGCTGGGCAGGCCACCCTTTTGGCCGCACTCGCACCCTTCTCGTCGCACTCGCCAAAGTGCCGTGCGCCACCCCACCCCACCCTTCCAGGGATACATTTACTCCCCAGACCTCTCCAAGGGCGCGCTTAGGCCAGACTTCCACGGCGAATCAGGCCATGGCGACGAGCGCCTCCCAGAAGGGCCCCAAAAAACCGGAAAAACGAAGGAATGTGGTAGCGGTATACCCTGACCTCCTCCCTCACGGGGGAACGGTACGGAGGAGCGGCGGGGCGGGGCATCGACCCGGAATCGGCGATACATCGCCGATGGATCGGCGAGGAGCCCCCGAGAGCGAAACCGCGCGCTCCATGGCGGCGGGAACCCATTGGCAATGAACGGCCGATTGGGGTCGAGGCACCCCTCCTTGAGCCCACCCCCTCCGAGCGTTGCCCCCTGGCTTTCGGGTCACAAACTGGCTCTGGCGGCCGTGCGGGGCGATCCGGGCACCCCCCGGGACGCGCTCGGCGAGGCGCAGCCGCTGGAAGGCATCCCGAGGCCGAGAAGCCCACGAAAGCCAACGAAAACGTCTGGAAAACTCGAAGCCGTTTCCCCCCCCCTGGACGCCCCCATGACTTTGTCCCCGATCTTCCCTCCCACCATCCTTCCACTCCCGCTCCTGGTCCTTCCTTCTCCTGTTTACATCGGGCGAACTCCAAATGCCGACCTGGTATGGTTCGCCCTCCTTCTCCTCCTCCCGTTACACGTTACCTGTTACATCGGGCCCCACGGCGTTCGAGATGGCGCCCGACTGCTACACCAGAGCATTGAGCTGGATAACCCGGGAGCCTGATACCTGTGACATGGAGAACATCGAAGGAACAACGGGGGCGGGTGAGCACGATGGCCCTGCCAGGCGAGCTACTTCTAACACTCCTCCACCTCCTCCTCCTCCTCCTCCTTCCTCTTATTATTCTTCTTATTATTATGTTTTCTTAGTATTAACATTATTCGTCTTCTCCGTGTTATTCGTCTTCTTCTTATTCTTTTCTTATTATTATTATTATTCTTATTATTCTTCTTAGTATTATTCTTCTTATTATTCTTATTTTTCTTCTTCTTCTTATTATTATTATTCTTCTTATTATTCTTATTTTTCTTCTTCTTATTCGTATTATTCGTCTTCTGATTCGTCTTCTTCTTCCTCCTCCTCCTCCTCCGCCTCCGCCTCCGCCTCCTCCTCCTCCTCCTCCTCCTCCTCCTCCTCCTCCTCCTCCCCCTCCCCTCTCCCCCCTCCTCCTCCTCCCCCTCCTCCCTCCTCCCCCTCCTCCTCCTCCTCCTCCCCTCCCCTCCTCCTCCCCTCCCCCTCCCCTCCTCCCCTCCCCCTCCTCCTCCCCCTCCTCCTCCTCCTCCTCCCTCCTCCTCCTCCTCCTCCTCCTCCTCCTCCTCCGCTCGCCTGCCGGCCCAGCCTCACCTGCACGCCGAACGGCACGGGCGGGGCCCCGCTGACGCGCAGCTCCCCCGCGATGGCGCCTGGCCGCCCAGACCGCGCCGCTCGCTGCCTCATCCTTTCCCGGCTAAGGCGAAGCCTCCTCCTCCCTCCCCCCTCCTCCTCTCCTCCTCCTCTCTCCTCCTCCTCCTCCTCCCTCCTCCTCCTCCTCCCCCTCCTCCTCCTCCCCCCCTCCTCCTCCCCCTCCTCCTCCCCCTCCTCCTCATCCTCCCCCTCCTCCTCCTCCGCCTCCTCCTCCTCCTCCTCCTCCTCCTCCTCCTCCTCATCCCTGGGACGAGGATGAATTCGGATGAAGATAAATCGAGAATCTCTGAGATCCAGTGGCTCTGGAGGATGCAGGGGGCGCCGCGGCCTCCTCAGAGCGTTCCAGAACGCTCTGAGAGCGTCCGGGGACGCCCTGGAACGGATCTGTCGTCGTCCAGGCCCCGTTCGACCAAACCCTCTCGAGTCATGAAACAAACACGGCGGAACGTGTTTCGCTATGTTCGGCCTCAGAGGGCCTCTGAGCCTCGGGGCCATCAAAAAAACGACTCTGGTCGAAAAAACGATCCTGGGGAACGGCTCGAGATCTCTGCAGGTCGACAGCATGAAAAAATCATGGCGTCGGGGGTTCTGGGTCCTCCCTCCTCCCTCCTCCCTCTTCCCGGGGAAGCCGACAACATGGCACGGCCACCCCCTTTGCATGCAGAGTTGTCAAGTCCTGGCGTTCAACAGACAGTGGCGTATCCAACATGGACATGTTCAATTTGTGGCTCGTACAATATGTTGCATCATGATCGTTGCCGTTTTGGTTGTGGAGTTGCCCCGCAGAATCAGTTACCACATGCAGCGCAAGCACCTCCAGGAATGTGGCCGAGTTCAACGGAGGCGGTCATGGCTATGGAGACGCCAATGACTGAAGGTTTGCCCAAACCGGGACGACAACACACGCCTCGAGAAGGTCGACGTGGGACGAGGGCGGCAGGAGGAAGCAGCCCGGGCACACCAATTGGCGGAGCCGAGCGAGGACATCTGCGTGGGCCAGGACCGCCCCAGCAATCGCAGACAGAGGACATGTCCCAGGCCTCCGCTGTCATTGCCCCGTCGCCCTTCAAGCAAACCAGCCCTACGTTGTCAGGCACGTTCGGGGATAAGGCAGTATCCCCATTTCGATCAATCATACCTGGCAGTGAGAACGACCTCAGGATCGTTCCAGCCCTACCAAACGACGCGCAGCAGCATGTACACTGGGAGCCCCCACCGACAGATCCAGAAACATTGGCAGGACATTTACAGAAGCTTCATGATGAACTGGCAGCGTTGGGGCCCATCATCAGGTTGAAACGCACAAAAAGCGACGATGCAACTGCGGAGGAGAACTGGTATGCCACAGTTTTGACGGCGATTCAGATGGCATGCCCACCGGAAGAATGCCTGGCCAACCAGCAGCAGGAGTTGCAGAGGGCTAAAGAACAAGCGGGGATATGCCAAAAAGTTTTGAATGACAAGCAGGCGGAGTTGAACGCAGCTCGAGCAGACCTACAGCATGCGCAACATCTCGCCGATAGACATGCAGCAGCTGTCGAGCAGATACGTGTACTGATGGAGCGACACAAGCCGCCGCCGCCCGAGAGTGCACCTCCCCCGCTCCCAGGCACACCCAGTGAGGTGGGGCCAGGGACGCCAGGCGGAGCGCCAGGCACACCAGGGGTCGAGGTGCACCATGAGGCGGCCGCGGCGGCGCAACTACCGCCAGGATTGATAGACCTGGCCACGCTTCAGTCACAGTTCGTGAAGTTGCAGACGCAGCAGGCAGAATCCCAGAGGCTCATGATGGCGCACAATTCCATGCTGGGCCAACGCATTTCCTCCATCGTCAAGCACCTAGGCGCCAGCACCGTAGCGAAGAAGGCCTTCAAGACAGACCAAGGCAGGATCGCACCCATGGAGGAGGAGACAGGCGAAGCCATCACATCGGAGGAAAGTGTGACAAAGCAGGCAATCGCCGTAGTAGACCAAGCTCTGGTGGCTGCAGGCGGCGCGTCAGGCGCTGCCGCCCCACCCGTCTCAGCAGCAGCCTGCGCTTCCAGCCCCTCACCTCCTCCCTTTCCCCCTCACCCACCAGTGGCAGGCCTTCCTACGGCTGAAGAGGTCGCGCGCGCAGGAGCATTGCCTGCAGGCGCTGCCAACAGATCTGGAGAGCCAGTCCTAGTTGTCGAGTGACGGTCACAGCGAGGTCAGGATCGAGATCCCTCTTTCCCCGACCCCTCTCGCTCATCTAAGGTTCCTTCTCCCTCCCAGCAGACTAAGGACTCTGTCTACTGCAGGTTCGTCAACGATCCTGACCTCGCACATCAGCTACGACAGCCATGGGAATGGACAATATCACATTGCAGTGCCTACCTCGACTCCTTCTGGGCCCCCAAGACCTCTGAGTACCTTAACACCCTATCTCCTACTCCATCGTCCAACATACTGCAAGTTCACGTGTATACGGACGGCACAGGTGGACAAGTGTCGAATGTGTCACCGCCAGCATGGGCCATGGTTCTCATTGGAGAACATGTGGACGGATCTTTTTCACTCATCGGGTACATGTCCGATAGAATCTCGGACGAAGTGTTGGAGCAGTTACCCCGGGATAAAGCTAGTCTATACACAGAATGCGTGGCCCTATCATGGGCAACATTATGGGCCATACAGAACGATGTGTATAACATTACCGATTGGTCGGATTCTACCTCAGCTATCAGGGCCACTCAATTTCTAGCACATACCCACAGTGACGTACTTGGTAGTGGTACTACGCTAAGGGCGCTAACACATATAAGTACGCGTGCTGGGTACGCAAGACACGTTTCACACGAACATGTTTCAGCACATACAGGACATCCAGTCAATGAAATGGCAGATACACTTGCAGCACTGGCATCCCTAGACCTAGCTTGTCCACCAGAACAGGATATATTAAGCAAAGTGATTTCGCAGGCTGAGTCGTTGCAGTGGGCATGGTTGGAGCCAATGCCGAGCGACGCACGTGCTCAGTTTCCGCCGCGTGCACACCATGAAGCACAAGCAAGGTTTGTGATAAGTTCGCCATCTACTCCCTCACCTCCCTCAGTTGCAAGCGTGGGCACATATTTTACCGACATGATGTCCAAGCCCAGTAAGCATAGTTCGGCCCCCCTACCTCTCCGCGCGGCCTTCCTCAATGTCCTCACCCTACGACCTCATTCATCGAAAAGCAAAGGGTTGTTGGCAGGGTTACGCATGCGGGGACGTATGACCATGTTAGCGGATCAGTTTTTTCCAGGGCGGGCTACCAGATTATTGGGATGGCAGAAACTAGAATGAGAACACGTTCAGTAACGACAGTAGGGCCACATTCAATATTTCACTCCCCAGGCACACAGATGAGGACGCACGGGTGTTCTCTATGGGCGCAGACGAAGTTGCTCCATCCGTTTCAGCATGTCTTCGCCAATCCGAGGCAAGTGGCAGTCTGTCTTGTCTCACCTACACGCATGTTCGCGACAATCCAGGCGGACAGACACAAGATCAATGCATTTATTCTGCATGCATCTCACAGCCGACGGCCTCCCGCAGAAATCGAGAGATGGTGGGCGGACACCAACAGGCTTTATAAGAAGCATCTACAGCCAGATGCCACGCCCATCGTGCTTTGCGACGCCAACGCAGCGGTAGGCTCGCAGCAGTCAAAGGCTATCGGCCCAGTTGGGGCTGAGCAGGAGAGTCCAAATGGTGCCAGGTTTCACCGATTCCTTACTCGACAGGACCTTTGCATCCCTGCCACCTTCGCCAAGATGTCTAGCATCTCTGCCACGTGGACCTCGCCGGGTTCAATTAAAGCAGCAAAGAGGATCGACTATATCGCGATCCATCAGAGCCAGTTGGATTCTGTGACGCGGTCAGGCGTGGACAGACGCTGCGGCTCAGTGGCAGCAAGATCATGACGCGGTGGGCATCATGCGTACTGTTCCCTGTCTTAAGTCACCCTCCTCCTTCTCCCCGGCCAGACCCAGAATATGTCCCAGGCTCCTTCAGGATCCCGAGGTTCGGGCCACGGTACAAAGAAAACTCGCCCAGGATCCCCCCAGGCCTGCCTGGAACACTCCTCCCTCACAGCATTGTCAGGCGTTGAACGACCATGTTTTGAGGGTTATCCAGGAGAATCTAGTTCAGGCGCCTACGCCATACCAGGGATGGGTTTCGAATTCAACCAAGGAGCATTACATGGTCAAGGCCGTTGCTCGACGGCGAATGGGGGCAATACTAGACGAGTTTAAGAAGGTCAAGTTGTACATATACATACTTGCATGGCATCGTGCGGCACAAGAAATACGACGGCTCAGCAGCTACACACACGCACGGGCAGTTTTCATGTCTCAGTTCCCTCACATCATGCAACAAGTATTGTGGAGTAGTAAATGAGCTACATCAGGTTGTTCAAGAATCTGCTGGATCCCGACTGGCAGTATATCAGGCAACGACCCTTCCAGGTAAATTTCCCCTGTGCTCGCACGAAGCGTTCGTCCGATTTTTCGATGATAGACAATTACCCCTGGAAGGAGAGCCCGGTGAAGAAATCTGGATGAGCATTCTAGCCCAACGTTTCACCGCATTGTTTCACATACTATTGCATCCGTATGCGTGGTACGGACATTTACTCACAAACGCCGACGCAGGCCAGCATGCACACAAACTAGCACAGCGGTTGGTGGATGACTATCAGGGCCGACGTTTTGCATCAGCATTTGCTACATTACGATCCATGGGAGTTGGTGGACTGAAAAAAGTGAAGCGTGCAATCTATCCCGCAGTGGAATGCGCCAACACAGAGTTGGCCAAGACGCCCTTAGACATCCACGAACGTTGGACAGAGTATTTCGCACAGCAGGAACACGCTGCAGCCATCACGCCAGACACAGCAGACACAGTACTACGTGACATTGTCAGAGCGCCGAAGCACCAGCTCAAGCTGCACAACTGCCCGACCTATTATCAGTATGAGAAGGCATTGGCT